TTCTATTAGTTCATTCCCCCCTTCTATTTAGCATTTACAACCCCCCCCCCCCCAAATACCAGAAAAACTACCGACAGAAAAAACCTGCACTTCCAACACAAAAAAATCTTTCATTTTGCACCCTTCACTTCCACCACCTCTTAATCTTGTCTTGCTGAGTGCCTGACACTCATGCCCTAATCTTGGTTAAGATCCCTAAATGTTACAACAATACCAACTCTATCACAATAAATAACTCCTTCAAATAATAACAAAGGAAGTGTTTAGAAACTAAGGAATATTTCAGGAGCGTGCCGATGCATCCTGCAGTCATTCATTTCAAGATCGTGATGCCAACCAGTAATTTTTTCCTATGCATCTTCTCACTGCACTTGACCTAAATATGTTCACAGTTTGGCTGGAGGGAGAAATGCCACTTAACTCTCTCTATGCCATGCAGATATTTACTTTAAAAATTTCTCCTGCATTCTTTGGAAAATTTCCTTCTGCTGTGGCCTGGATCTTTTATATGCCTGCAAGATTGATCAGCTGGACTTCTTAACCACCACCACAACTTCTGCTTAAGGATGCATTCATCTTTTTTAAAACAGCTAAAAACATTTTCCCTCCTACAGCAACATGCACACATGCCTCTTTAGGGACAGATGCTAATATTGCTCACTAGACTGACAGAAGAGTGAAACAAGTGCCAGCAAGTCAAGTTTCCCACAGGCTCCAAATATGCCTCGCAAACGCCGAATTAAGTTATTTCTCACAAAGAGCAAAAGACTTGATTTTCCATTGATATAACCAAATTCTTTGTATGTCATGCTGCTGCCACATTACAGACCCAAATAGCTGTATACTTACAAGAACAATACAGAACTTTGTACTTGGGCCAGTTAACATTTTGCTGACAATACGACTTAAAGAACTTTGTTCAAAGTTCTGCCACAGAATTGATTTTTTTAGCTTTTGAGGGGGATAAAGGGGAAGGGATTGTGAACATGTACTGCTATACTGCATTCTGGCACACAGAGCACGAGTCTATTTGACAGCAGACTTTGGTTATGTATTTGTAGCCTTGCAGTAACACGACAGACTCCCCGAAGAGTACTATGCAGTATCTGCAATTACAAGTTTTTAAAGATACTGTTAATTAAATCTAAAGTTTAAGCATGATGAGGTGTTTGGATGACAGGAATCACACTGCTCAAATCCAACCTCCCTTTCTTGATCCTTCTTGAATTAATAGGCAAACCCAACAATTCGCACTTGCAGTTTTTCATGTCTCTTCAGTAGGTGGATCTATAGTTCAATGTAATCGGCTCTAGGTTTCCATCTGTTAAATATCTAAACTTTTGCTAGCTTCTGTCTTTTAAACACATGATCTCATAGGCATACTGAGTTACTGCACAACTCTTAAAACAGGCTCTTACATTTAAGAATTTTGAAGTGACACCAATGATCCAACTCCAGGATCAGTATTACATCTGTTTAAATTCAGCTGGGCTTCCAGTCAGCTGATGAAAGAGCAGCAGCCTTGGTCAGGGTATTTAAAAATCTGACCCAAACTACATTTCTTAAAGGTCAACCCAAACCAACCAACTAGATATTACTGATGAGGTTTCCCTCAATTTTCAGGAAAACTATCTAGTAAGATCTGGCCTGGCTCAAGACCTGTCTGTTTCAAAATTATTTGCTTTATTACTCTTTAAAAACATAAATCTGCTCTGTGGGAATTTCACATAGCGTTTTGCAAAGAACTGAAGACTGGGAGGGGAGGAGGAATTTGTTGAAATCCTGGTAGTTAAGAGAGATTCACATATTTTCTGACAATGCATTTTTCCCATCTCTTCCTGCAAAGACTTACTGTTTCACAACAACATTCTCTTGCTTCTAAAATGGTTTCTCTCTGCTGCAACCATGAAAAAGTCCAGACGAACCATTTTAATAAAAATTTGCCTGGTCCTTACCAGAGGAAAAGTGCTAAGCCTAACCCATACAGTGCTGATCCTGTGTCAGTCTCAGCTTTGATGCTAACATCACTGACAAACATCCTATTGGATGGTCTGGGAAAAACATGCATGGGAACTGAGCGGGTGTATGGCTGGGACTGAGCAAATAATTAAAAGACAAAGCACAAACAGAAGTCCTCCCCACCTAAGGTGATATTGTCTTTCTACTTCTAGAAACTGGTAATAAATATATACTTTCATTCCAAATATGTATTTTTAGAAGTGCTCAGACAGAAGAAATAGTAATTTCTTTCCAAACCATAGCTTTCCATACCACAGCTTTCTAATTCAACAAATGTGATTTCAGGAACATTAATTTTAAAAAAGTTTGTGATGTGTCTCCCCCTCAGATTAGCATACTGATCAATGCCTGTTATCATCAGTATTTTGGTACTGGCTCAAGACCCCCCGTCACACATAACATTTACTCGCTCTCTTCCAATCTGACAACTACGCTGTTCCAGTGAGGCTGCTATCCAATACCTCTCTCCCGGGACAGGAAGGAATTTTAGAAGAACTGGATAACACTACAATATCTAGAATGTAAGTGAAATTAGATCTGAAGAGAAACTGCTGAAAATCCAGAGGAAAGTTCAATAAAAGGAGAATCTATTTTCCTAAAACTTAAACACCACACAGGAAAAAAGCAATCTTTCACCATCTTTGAGTGACTACACCCTTATCACTATGTCCTCTAGACAGTAATAAATACAACATAATTAATGAGTATCAGCAAAGTAAAAGCCACCATTCACTTTTCAGCACAGATTTTATTCAAGTTAAAACTATTTATAACAAATCACAAACCAGCATCAGCTTGAAATAAGTTGCATGCAGACAGAGCTCAGTAAATGCATGCTTCCTTGCACAGGTAGCATCCATGCCAGGAAGCATAAGTCATGCCACTACAAATAAAAAGCTGCTTAAATGAGATTTATTCTCTGGAACACCATCCACTGCTGCACAAGTATGCATAGAAAGATGAAACAAAGGTCACTGGTGATTAACTCATGCAAATACTATTCTAAAACCATTCTATTTATCTTCTGCTCTACTTTCAACTCTATGGTAAGTAGACATTATTTTAAAAAGTCTCTGTTAAAAAATTCACAAAATAGAACCGAGCAGCATTTAGTGTGAACTCTACACAAAATATTTGTTAAATACCAGCTCCAGAGTTATCCAGCAAGTACATGCCAATAGAGCAAACTTGAACAAAACAGCCCCTTAAAAACACTGAACCTTTTAGACAGCTTACAAATTATGCATAGATATTCTCTGCATCTCATGAAGAGAAAACCTAATTTACTAACAAAAAGTAACTCAGCAGAAATCCTCAAAACAGATTTTAGCTGAGGGACACAGCAGATACTATTATATATATTAATTTTCCAGCTATTCAGAAACAAAGCTACCAGAAGGGGGAAAAGAAAGGACTGAACAGAAATTACTAGTAATTATTAGCTTATCATTCAAAGAGTTCTTAGTGTTTATCTGTATTATGGCACTAAAAATAAACCAAAAAACCCACGTAGTTTTCTATCACAGTTATTCTTCTTGTATCTATCCTTTTTAAGAAGTCATGCTGGAAATGGTAAGTTAAATCAAAAATGCTTATGGTACTGCCTGCTGCTGGTTTTGTTTTTCTGAAGAACTCCAAGCAGAAGATATTTACAATCTTGTCCTGCTTTCCACACATTTTGAACTAGCTCCATTATCTGACCAAAACAAGTGGGAGCAGTTTGCACTTGGAAATGCTCTTAAATGATAGTCTTTAGTCAGCTACAATTAAGGTTAGACTTTCATTCATTAACACTTTCTACTTTCGAGCTGCACTGTTTCTGGGACATTTCCTTTTTTTTTTTTTTTTTAAAAAACAAGACTTTTTGGCTCTTAAAACAGGAGGAAAGCACCTATTGTAAAAAAATAAATAAGTCTTAAGCAATTACTGTGTTTTATTCTTTTTAATCTGAAACCCCTTTTTTTTCCAAGATGAAATTACTTACTTCCAAGCTGCCTCGTTTTATTGGATTCAGTACTAGTAGCTTCTTAAGTAGATTTTCACAGTCTGTGGACATATAGAATGGAATGCGGTACTTCCCCCTCAGTACTCGCTCCCTCAGTTCCTTTAAAATAAAGTTTTAAAAGGTGAGCCTACTAATGACATAGAAGATTTAGAGAGAATAAAAGCCAAGCTTTCATATTGTAACCATACCTTTAGATTCTGACCATCAAATGGCAATGATCCGCTTACTAGTGTGTACAAAATCACCCCAAGGCTCCACACATCCACTTCAGGACCATCATATTTCTTTCCTTGGAAAAGTTCAGGCGCAGCATAAGGCGGGCTTCCACAAAACGTGTCCAGTTTGTTACCGACTGTAAATTCATTACTAAAACCAAAGTCTGCAATTTTAATGTTCATGTCTGCATCAAGTAGAAGGTTTTCTGCCTAAGAGAAAAACAGAAGAGGAAAAGGACAATTTATGTATCAGAATAAGATCAATATATTGCAGTGTATCATTTATCAATAAATGCAAAAATGTTTCTTTTTCTAAAATGGTTCACTATCTGTATCTTTCTTGCAGAACAAAAGGAACTAACCCCCTGAATACATTACAAAGATTGAAAATCGACTATGTTTACTCAGGAAAATACAACTGTTAAAAGCAGCTAAACAGACTTGAAAGTCAGCTAGTGAATTAACTATGAAGACTTTCTCTTCTGGAAGAAATAACTTAGTTCAGCTTTAGACTGAAGTATCTAGACATGTCAGAATAGCAGTTTCAGCTTTTGACAGGTTCATGCCAACTTCTGATGCCAAGGAACATAAATCTAATCCCAGACAGCATCTACCATTCTGGTGGGGTAAATGTTAGAAGGGATTTAAGACTTTAAAAGATCTCTTCTGCTTACAAGATGAAACACGTCAAGCTATGTGCTGTATCTTAGCATTCTGTATCAAAAAATTCTGTCCCCTTCATTATTAGTGTTTGGTTTAGCAATAACACCACCAAGGTGTTTAACACTCAATTATTATACTGTGTATGAAAAAATGCATGTATTATACATCTAAGAATATGAATGCCTGTGCCACAATCATCATGTGAACACAATGCATCACATATATAGATGGAAGTATTCAGGAACCTGGAGAGTCAGTAAACAGTATCTTATACTTAGTATCACAGGTAGGTCAGAAGATTAAAAGAGCAAGGTTAGAGAAATACTAGTACATTACTGGAAAAAAATAAAGTGCATTTCTCAAAATGCAAGGATGCTGTGCAAGGAGTGCAGCAGAACTAGGCAATGTTCACTCATTTAATTCGGTCCTGACTCCTGATCTGCATATCAGCAACACAGGAGCAGCACTGAGCAGTGCAGGAATCCTCCTTTTTCAACAGGAGGACAGACATTAGGCAGAGCAGAGGATTCACCTAATTGCCAAACTTCAGTTTTATAGCAAACACAGACATCTCTCATCAGATGCTGCATTCAGAATAGAGCCCAGAAAATAAAAAAGGTCTTAGTTTAGGATCAGAGAAGCAGCAACCAATTTGTTAGTTGCTTTGATTAAAAGGGTAAACATGATTTTGTTTGGGTTTGTCTGTTTGTTGTTTTTGTTTTATTTTTAATATTTTTACTTGTAATCAATGAGGAGACAATTAACTACCAGTATATCAAGCCAATAGCTGTGCAAGAGAATTTAGCCTTTATCAGTAGTAAAATACAGCCCATTTTTACAAACTAACTATCCTGGAAAATATTCTATTTTCCCAACTCATGACTTGTAATCTCAGCTAGTTCCAGCTGATGTGCCTGCAGACCGACTCACAGAGATATTTTTCAGATCTGACAGCCTTCTACAGTACTGCACAAAGACTTCATTTTCCTTGTGGTGAAAACATTACTGTCAGTGCAGCTGCTCTGCGATTACAATAGTCCTCCTAGTTCAACGGTACTCTGCCACCCAAGTACCCCATGCTTTTAGGTTCCTTACTTCAAACAAAAACAACAAAAAAACCCCTTTTTAATACGCCAAATAGAAAGACTATGCTCTTGTTGGTTACACATTCAGAGCAAAAAGTATTAACAGTCACTGAAAAGGTAAGAGAAGTTTTGTGCGTCACAGGATAAGCAAGTTGGAATTGGTTATAGCCCTTTCTATGCAAACTGTTTATAATCACAAAAAATTAAAAGGAAACAGTTTAAGTACCCACAGGCCTTGCATTCCCTCCTCTTCTGCCAGAATAGCCTGAACAAACTTACACATTTTCTTACGTGTCTTCCTAGTTTAGTCTGAAGTAGCTTACATTTGATGGAGTTTACCCTTTTTTGTTAGTAAAGCCACAAAGGCTTATCAAAAAAATCTCCAAAGTGGTGCTAGACCTCTGCGGTGCTAACAATGTCAGTTTGTCAGCATGCTGAATCCATGGAGAAAGTCAACAGAAGCAGATGTGAATGCAGACACAACTTTAAAGTTGCTTCTTCCTTCTCTGCAGCTCCATGAGAAAGAGTTTTAAGTGAGACAGAGATGACACATAACGTTTGGAAAGGAAAGACGAAGTGAGAACACCTCCTCAAACCCATACGTTTTGCCTTTTTCTTTTGGAAATGTATTTTTCATTGGCTAGGCTGACTGGCTCTCAATCACACCTAACACTGAACTTTTCAAATGAGTCTAGCGTAACTTCATCCAAGAGAAGACAGAGAGAGAAAAGCAACAAATTATTTTGGAGCCTGCCTGTCTTGCAAATAGGAAGGAGCTCAGCAGCAGACTACTTGTGACAGATGGTAAAAAGGATCCTGCATGAATGCTGCAAAGCCATTTTGGATAGTCCTCTGAGCAATGCAGTGAGCTGTATGAGTGCTACAGAACTAAGAAATGAATGAGGGGTGGAGGATGTAATGGGCTCTGGGAGAAAGAGCGAGATGCAGGATGTTAAATAACTGCAGGGGTTCATGCAGTAAGACTCAATAATATAGCTGGGCTGAGCAAGCCAGTGTCAGATAAGCACAAGGAGATGACTGGCTCCCTACTCCCAGTCAAGTATAGGGCCAAGACAACCAGTGGAAGGGGGCTTGTTCAGCCAAGCCAATAGGGCCCTATGTGCAGCCTTCTGGAAAGCTCAACAGTGGCTGCAGTAAGCTCCAGGGAGCTTAACAAAACGTTCACGGCCTCAAACCACCACGCAAGACAGGGAGGAATTTTTTTTAATCAAGATTTCAATGAGATCCAGCCCTTTCTTTCCTTGCATTCTGACTTCAGAGTGCTGGCCAGGCACCTCCATCATCAGATGACAATGGTCCTGGGGCAGGGAGGACTCAGCAGAAGATGTATTATCCAGCAGCACCATATGCACACGCCGGAGCTGGCAGATTGACAGGTATTAGGGGACAGATTCATAAGAAACAGGTTGAGAGCATGCCGCAGTGTATTATAAGAAAGTTAAGACAAAAGATACTGGTGTTTTCTTTGTAAATGTACAAAGCCAACAAAGCAAGAGCACAAGCAAACTTCTAAGCGGGTGAAGATCTTGTGTCCAAGTCCCATGATATCTAAACTTGGCATGAAGACAACTTCAGACTGAAGGCTTAGGTTGTATCTGCAGTTGCTGAACTCTTTATCATGGTCTGGTATGTTTATACAGATAGATTACCAGAAAGCATCAAAAAAGGAAGTTTGACTAATTTCTGTTTACCTTTGATTTATTCTTCTGCCCGAATTAAACACTAGAGTATAATCCAGAAGTTCAAATGGATTAAAAACCTAACATATTTCTTATGAATCACTAAGAAAGACCATTTTATATGTCTTGCAATACATTTTAACTGAAAATACTTTAATTAAGTAGTGCTGACTGGTATCATTGAACTTCTGCAGCTTCAATGTGTAGATATCTGCATGCCAGCAGGTATAATTCTTTGGAGAGCATGTCTTTTTCTTAAAGCCAAAATTGGAATGCAAGTAACACATGTTCTATTCTTGCCTCTCCCCCGCTCCAACAGGCAAGCTACATTATTTTTGTGCTTTCAGAAAACTGAGAATAAAATACAAGTCATAGTTCTCTCATTCACATGTTTGAGGCATTCAGAGACAGTGGCAAGGACAAGTATATAGAATGAAATTAAGTCTATACTGTCAACCAGCAAAATGAAAAATAAGTTAGCAGCCTACCTTAAGATCACGATGAACTATGCATTTCTGATGACAGTACTGCACAGCAGATACAATCTGAAACACCAAGATGATCAGTGAAATATTTTATTTCAATCTCAGTATAAGTTTTCATATATAATTTAGTAATTTTAGCTCCTGATATGATTTAGTAGAACATAAGGAATTAATAAATAAAGCTTTCATTTTAGAAAATATTCACGTAAGTTTCATTAAAGCTCAAATACTAAAACTAAAAAGTCCCTAAAAGCTGCTCATTTTCTTACTAAAAAAGTATAATACATATGCCTCAAGGTAATAGGAGAAACATCTATTTTAAATGCAGATCACCCAACAGTAATAACTATAAAAGGAAATTATCCACCCCCAACCCAATAGCTGGATGTACCATATCAGATTTTATCTCCTGAATTATTTGCAGCATATCTCTGCAATTCATCCCTAACAGAATAGTTAATTCAACATTTTCACATACATCTTTTATGTATGTATAACAAAACCCAAGTCTGAAACAGAAAGTTAAAAGCAGTTTCTCTATGTGTTAATTATATACCTTAATTCTGAAAAATACCAAATTTTGTTTCTTTATCTAATTAAAGCTTTTCACAAAATAATCACTAAAAACAGGGTAAGAAAAAGATTCAGACGGGAAAGTTTGTAATAAGAATATAAAAACCTGTTACAGAATACCCTTCATACAAAACAATGTGACATGACACAGCAACACATGCCATCATACCAACATCTCCAGATAGAACATCTGTTAAATTCTAAAATATTCAAACAAGTATTAAAACCTCAAGAGAGTCACAATAAAAAGTGTGGCTTTTAGGAACATCCACTAAAAAGAATGTAAAACAGTCTTACTATTTTTAGATAGTACGTAGGAAGCAGATATTTTTCTCTTCAGGGATTTTTTCCACTCCAGCTTTAATAAACATTATCACAACAATGAATATTTTTTTAAAGTAGAAGTATGCTCACACTCATGCCTATCTGAAAACACCATAAATAGAAACGAAAGAAAGAGTGAACGTTAATTTCATACCTGCCTGAATTTTGCACGAGCCTCTTTCTCTTTCATTCTTCCATGTGCAACTAGGTAGTCAAACACTTCTCCTGACCATGACAAAAACCAAAACATCAGTCCTATTGCCCAGGTTTTTTTTTTTTGACTGTCATGCACAATCAACTCATGCTTGAAAACACCGCCCCCCTGCCCCCCTTCTTGAAGGGAAAGAAATAGAAGCAGCCAGAAAAAATTCCTTTTTACTGTTTGCATTAGATTTCATTTTTTAGACAAGTAATGGTCAAGAAATATAAAAATGGAACCCTTCATACTAAGGCTTCTTCAATTTTTAAAATATATTTACTTAAACACTGTGAAAGAAAAAAAAAAAGACTTTAATCATGTAAAACATTCACATTGCATATAAGACACACTGGGAAACAGGCAACTTCTTATGTACCAGATTTGTTTCACATTATCTCCAGCAGCTTCACTTAACAGTATCTGTATTACTTCTGTGTTTTCCTTCTTGTTCTCTAATAAAGCTGCTGAAATGCCTTTCAGATCCTCATCTTTGCATTGTCTGACGAGCAGCCTTTCCAAGCTGGTCACTAGCCCTGTGCTGGATTCCCTTCCCACATTCAAACATTTCCCATTCAAATGCTAAGCAGCTTCTCAAGCAGGCACCCACTATTCCTCATGCTCTTCATGATCCTGCTGGTCCCATTTCCCGTGTTCCTTATTCCCGTCCTCTGGACCTGCCTCTCCAAGTGCTTTGGCACACATTTTCAAGATAAAATGAGGCACCAGTGCTTGTCTAAATATAGCAGATAAATACCGAGTCAAATTTTTGCCAGAATCAGCACCAGATTATCTCCTGATATTCCAGCAGAAACCTCAGAATGGTAACTACCCTTAAGCACAAGCCCGACAGGTTACTTTACAGAACATGATACAAGCAAGAAAGTCTGCCCTGGGAGGCCTGCTAGGACTGTTGTGAAGGCCAGATCGGAATAACCCATTAACCATAAAATCCCTAAATAATTCCTAGGCATGCAATCGCATGGCTTTCTGTATTTCAGTTTATCCTTAAAGCAGAATTAAGAATCCACTTACCCCCACTGGCATATTCCATTACCAAATACAGTGTCTTTTCAGTTTCAATAACTTCAAATAATTTTACTGCAAGAAAAATGAATGAGAGAGATTGCAGCAGGGAGCAAAACCACAGCACAAACGAAAAGATTATACTCATGAAGTGAGTATAATTTATGGCCAGTGATAACACTAAACCATACGAAAACTTTATATCCTTTAGGTTAGCATTCTTTTGAGGGGAAAAAAGCAAAATTAATTTCTAAATGCTGTTTGATAATAAAGCATATTACTTCACAATTTTCTCAGAAGTTTACGCAGACTGTACAAACGAATTCATGCTGAAATTAGTGTTTAATTTGACACAGACATCTTTAAGAGCATACAAACCTTCCCTGTTTCGCTAGTAAACTGCTCCCAGTTAGAAATCTGAGATTCTGACCAACTAAAAACTGAGTAGACACCAGAAACGTTAAGTCTGGAAGACTTTCCTCAGATTGTAATAGTAAGCACTCATTTAAAACAAACACACACCCCCCACCACCCCCAAGAAAACAAAAAACAACAGAAGCTAAGAATGCTGGAAAAGCAACAAACAATTCAAGGGATGAGAAGGGAGTGCCTAGCATGTAATAGCTTGTACACCTTGTCCATACCTTGTATGCAACAAGCCCTCTGGCCGATTCAGGACCATTAACTGTCTCTGGAACAAGACTGTCCAGCCCTCCTCAGCCAGAAGAATTGTCATCACAAAGTAGGGCCCTGAAGCTGTGGGGTAGGTGAAAGAACTAAAGCAGAAAGGGAAAATTACATACTTCGTAATTCTAGTTTTCTGGAAATATCAGTTGGCAGGAGTCTTTCCTAGACTGAACTAATGGAGTTTTGCTACCTTCACCTAAGAAACTCATGCTTTTTGGCCTCAAGAGTAATTTCAATGGACAGAGGAGAGTTAGGGCCCTCAACAGACTGGAGTGCTCAGCATCTTCTGCTTCATGTTAAAAGGCTTTCTTGGACTGAGCAGTTTATTTCCTCAGAGCAAACTTCTTGTTTTAAGCAGAGTCAATAAAGGAGGTGGGACAATGAGGCATTTACTGAATGCTCACTGTCCTATTATCTCAAAAAAGTTTAACGGACAAAAGCATAGCTGTAAAATACATTCAAATAAAGCCAAAGAGAGTAAAATGTACACAGTGTAATAAAAAAAAAAGTTTGCATAAATGTAGGGCTCCTACCGATATTGGGATGATTCAGTATCTTCATTATTCGTACTTCTCGAAACAACTGTCAAGGAAGCAAGACAATTTTCTTAAAGCGTGCTGATTAGGGAAAAGTTATTCAAGATACGCAATTTTAGATGGCAAAAAGGAGCAGCATAAGCCACAGCAAATAGCATTAGCATAAAATGTAGATACAGTGCAGTGAACTCCAGAAAATGTAATAAATGTTATGTAACAATAACCACGACCAAGTACACATAAAAACAGACTAATTTTTAAGCTTTATACAAACAGACACAGCTAAGCTTTATAGCCCTTTCTGGAGTTTCACACTGACCAAATCCAACAGACTGGTCACACACCTTTTTTTTATCTCTTTGCTCCAGTTTTTTTGGTGACTGGCAAGCTCAGCTAACTACCCTGAATACATACAGAACTGTGGGTGCAAACACAAGGTGTAGTACTACAAAAAGTTGAACACGCAAATGTTAAATGGAATTAGATACCAGGAATCCTGACGTCTCCCAGTCCTGCCACTCCACAGAGGTGAAGTGGGCGAATTCACTTTTTCTCACAGCTACCAAGTCTTATACTGGGTCACAAACTGCCATGTCCCCTCTCCCCCGGCAAGGCCTGAAGGTTTATGATTGATCAAAGTCTGGTTTATGATCCTGAGTCACATAATTGAAAACAATTGGACAAACTTATAGCCCTAAGTATATACACTTAAGACAATGGTGGGTTTACTTTTTTTTTTTTTAAAAAAAAAAACCAGAAACAAGAGGTCTTCACTCTTAAATTTCTAGCATTCATGGGTTTGTTGATTAAATAAGAGGTGAAGCAAGACTAACCTAGGGGCTCAAAGGGAAGAAGGCAAACAAAGGAATCCAAAATGACTACATAGTTCTGTTACTCTATACTTGCGGCTGTCAATACTGGTAAGTTTGCAGTTTTACTTTGAGTGAACAGCATATCCCCATTGTCAAATCTATTTACTGTGGTGTGCACTCTTTAGTCCTGTATTGGACTGAAGTAGGATGCTGAAATGAAGGAAGAAAAGCTTACTGACTTCAGCATAATGCTTAGCCACTTTGGAACATCTTAGCACTACAGTCCTCCTTATAGAGAAATGTGGCCCAGCACAGAAGTGCGCTGTTGCTGTTTTGCTTGCCTGATGTCTCAGAGGACAACTCTCCCTCCATTTTCAAAATTAGCCCCATTTGTTCAGATGCTACCTTTGCAAAAGGGTACAATGATGCAAGCCAGAGATCGAACACCTCCTCAAACAGCAGCACTTCAGTTTCTATCTTATGATGGCTGAGGCTAAAATAAAAATTAAAATCCTTTTGCTTAGACACCACTGATGTTTTTTTACTTCATTTGTGCCACTTAATCACAACATTTCTACAATTCTGCATTTATTCTACAAGTTAAGACTATAGAGCAACATCTTTTTTATTTGATCAAGTAATATTACTGCAGTTCTATATTTACATTATTTAAGTATTTCAAGCTAGTTACTATCCACTTGCCTTATAATTGCCATTAAAAGAATTTCAGAAGGAAGCAAAGACTATAAAAGCATTTCTCTGAGAAAACATGAACAGTATGATGCATTTTGCTCGTGTTCAAAATGTAACACATGGGTATGCAATACTGTGCACCAGAATTATGTTAGAAAGTATTCTTGTTTCCTCATAAAGCCAGTTACTCCCATGAAAAAAACATCATACCAGGCTGTTCTTTATGCATTTTTTGTTCTTCTAAGTATTTGAATTTGTTGCACAAGAGAAAGTTTCTCAGCTAAATCAATATCAATTAGTCAGAAGCTAACAAATCTAAACCAATAGATGGTACAGCTTCAGAAGAGCTTCTAAGCAGGTATGTGGAAAACTGCAATTCCTGCCAGAAGATTGGAAAAATATTTCATAACTTAACAGTACCAATGCTGGTATAAAATTCACAGCAGTGAACACAAGTCTTCATAAGCAGGATTAAAATATTAGGCTTCTATAAATAAAATAATTTCAAATCTAGAAAAAAGATCATTAAGAAACACAATTTTACATGTAATGTGAAGCACACAGTAATTGCAAAAAAAAAAGTGCATTACTCTATTCAATATTCTCACAGGATTTAGAAGTTTACTAATTGGTTTAAGATTCAAATTGATTTCACAGTGACATGAAATTTTGTTCCACGTAATACGCAATTTTTTCTTTCACAAAGGAAAAAGCCTATCAGGAAATGGTCATAAAAGTCTATTTTCCTCAAGACAGAACATTACTGACCTCTAGCCTGATGCAGATACTTTCCTGGATGAAAGAAATACATTCTGGTTCTGAACAGAAGACGTCGCCAAGATACAAAGTATGGGCTTAGGTTTATTCCATGCAAATGCCAACAAAATTTTTTACATCTTGTATTATATATCCTGTTGAATAGGCATTTTTTCAGAAAACCAATGCATATTTTCTCACAGAAAAGCAGATACACAGTCCTGGTAGTCACCATGAGTATCTCAAGAGAAAGCAGCTAGTCTCAACCTTTTTAAAGAAAGCAGCTATTCTAAGGCAAATTCTAAATGAACTCAACAAAGTCACAAGGTGAATCTGGGTATTTTCTTGCTGGTTAGTGTCTCTGAAATGGTAGTCTTGTTTGTTTGGGGATTTTGACTCAAAGGCACTTTTAATGTTGGCTGAAATGCATTTGCATGCTCAGAGCAAGAACTGGACAAGGCTGAAGCAGCTGAAGTTATCTTAGGTGATGCTCATTCACGCAAATCATGTCAAGCATAATCTGAATGGAAACTGGCTATTTTATTTTACAGACAGGATGGTGTCAGCCTCCCTACAAATGTACGAGAGCAGTGAAAGAGAGAAATCAGCAGAGTAAGAATTGAAATAATAGTTGAAATCTTGGAATCTACCTGCAGGTACCTGCTGACGAAATGGCTTGCTCTGAGAAAAGATTAAAAAACCCTAAGTGGTTGTACTCTCTACAAAACAACTCTCCCAACTGTCTTCCCACTACTGAAACTACAGCACACAAGGTTGCCTTCCCCATGGGGAGATCCACATTCCTCTGAGAGTTTGTGTTTTGCAGTTGTTACCAGCTTCTGACAAGTTTCCAGCGTTTTTTTACCTGGAAACCGACATTTTCAGACCATTTTCTGAAGTAACTCAGGTATAGGCATTTTGCAAATTAGGCAGATGTAACTTACGTCTTCCATAATACTGCTACGTAACTAAGTCAAGCAGCTTTGCTAAAGCTGCTTATTGTGACAGACACCTTCCAACCCAGGAAGGCTGGAAGAAAGAAATTGTTTGAAAGGCTGAAAGAACTGAAATAATGGAACAGCACTGTGTAGACACACAGCCACACTACACCTTGTGTAGTTCCATATGGTCCAAGGTGATGTATACGGGTCTCTCAAATGCAGAGTAGGGAGAAAGAGCAGGGAAATTTTTTTCAATACAGATGTTCAAAACAGCAGAGGGGGAGCGGGATGGAAGTTGGGCAAATGAACCGTTCTTTGGAGTCCTGGTGTATATTCAAGATTTTGTTTGGTCCAGTATAAATGCACATTTATACAAATTAAGAAAACGCTAACATTCACTCCTCCAATTTTCTCTCACAAGAGAGAAACAATCTAGAAAATCTCTGAACAATGGATAATGAATCAAAAAGAAACAAAAGCATTAACAGTATCCAAGTATTAGGGCACATTATTTACATTGCAACTCTGCATTCTGTGGAGCACTACTTTGGAATAAATGTCTTCCCTCCTGCCCGCCTTTCCTCTTGCAGAAGTATGCTGGTCATTAACACTACTTATGTCAATACCTATGTATTTACAAATAAATCTCTTTAAACAATAACCACTACACCCCTCAATAACACCCAGGATACCTCTACATGCAAAGGAAGAGATGTATTAAAGCAACAAGACCATCATTATTTCCTACAAAGCCAAGTCTGTTAATTTTATAGAAGTCTGGACAGAACAGAGATTAGTTCTCCTTTCATGACAAGGCGAACTGCAGGATTATATAATGATCTATCTTACTGATAAAAAACAGTGCTTTCAGAATTCACGCACACCCGTTTTCTTGAGCGGCAGTGTACTGCTCTCTCAGAAGGTGTAAGTGCTCCCTGACTTCTCTCCCTGCACCACACCACACATTTATAGGACAGCTCTTCATTCTAACAAAGTGCTACCATTCAAAAAAGCTCTTGAACAAGCATCTCCTTGTTGCAAACGGGCTGTAGCCTCAATAGCTTCACTTATAGTAGAAGACAGCCAGCACCATACTCATTTCATAGAACTTGTACCTATGGAAAAGGCACAAGGCTTGAAAATTTGATTCCTGCTTTTCCAGTTTCATTTTTCAGGGCACAGACTACAGAAAGGACAAAGATCTTCTGTCACGCCATTGCTAACACTTCTACTTGCTGTCAGGTTGACATCTATGTTTAAGATTTATTATTTTAAGTCACTACAATCAAACAAAATCTTCAGTTAACCAAGGCTTTTTCTTGCTTTGAAAGATGTCCTTGAATGCTTCTCTACTTTCTAAATCATTACTGAAAAGGGATGTTGCAAAAAAGCATAGCCTTCAATACGTAACATATTGAAATTGTTCCAAATCTTCTACTACTACTTTACTTCTGTTTGGCTTTTCTTAACAACAGAAAAGAACCTAAGTTTGAGGCTTTACATATGTTTAAAGAGAAAAAAGAAGCCCACTGACCCCTAAAAAGGAAAAATCTGAAATGCCATTTGCTAATTAAACCTATTAAGAAAAAAAAGCACCTTCTGCTCAACTAGCAGTTGGCAGAAGAGCAACAAAATGCTATTTCAGAAACATCCCTAGTGAAGCCAGTGCAAGGCGACACTTTCAATGTAGCAGACATGCAGAAAATAGAACAGCTATTTTGATATAAATTCTAGCTATGATGAAACCCAAATACTTACATTTGGGAACAAATTACAACCATGACAGTGGAAAAAGCTAAGTCAGTACAATATGTTACTATCGAGACAGCAAGTTCACAAAAAAGCCAGCTCTGTCTTCTGAATAGGTGCTTACTGAGAAAGATGGGAACCGTGTACTGAACAAACTGAAAACTAAATAAAAGGCAGTGCCCTTAATTCAACACTGCTTATCTATTTAAAGAGGTAGAGGTCCTGAAGCAAAAAGCGTATTACAAAAACTTAAGACAAGGATGCAAAATTAAGAATTCACAAGGTCAGCTTACTTCTGTCATCTCTCCCGGTTTAAGTTAGAATAACTATGCCTGCAGAGTACCCTGTCCGTACTATATGGCATAAATAACATTGGAGAGTGGCAATGAACAAACTAAACACTTTCTCACCTTTCATACCCATGACTAACTACAGACCCAGCCTGTATGACACTTCCAGCAACTGATGTTATGTGCTCAAAAATTTCTGTTTACAAAACAGAACAGTGCATGAGAAACTATGATGCCTCAATTAATTTTACTTAAATTAGGTCAGTAGCAAATACTAGAGCAAAACCTACTTGCACTTGGTATCCTTAATATTATATGGAGTGTAAAAGGAAAGGCACAGGGTCATTCATAAGACCAAAGATCGGTATATATTTGTCTTATTTGATTAATAATGTACGTCAAAAATGATTGAAGGCCTAAAAGTTTTGCTGATCTGCATACAATCCACCAGCTTTGAAATTCTAGAGACTGTCCTCATGACTGCGCTGATTTAGATGGGTTCAAACTTGAGTGATATTTTTGTTGCAGAAACTTACTACAGTATTTTTCTACAAACATTCACTAGAATAGTGTCTGTCCCTATTAAAACAGTACTACTGTCACCATTTCCCTTTCCCAACATTACCTCTTGAAGAAAAATTGACTACTTAACAGTCCTACGGTACAACCATACAGTACAACCCTTATGATAAAATCATAAAGTCACATTATAGTCACACTAGATAGTACATAAAGAATCACAAACTTTACATAACAGTTCAGTGCGGAAAGAAAAATAAAGATGACTGTGAAACATGGAGATTTCTTAGAGCAAGATTTTTTTTAAAAAATTATTTACAATACACAAATGACATATCAAAATACTAACAGAAATAATTCTAAGCATGCTGATGAACTACCCTCCCACCCCTATTTGGTTTAAACAACTACAGTCACTTGAGTGACTGTGCAAAAACTGTGCTTAAGCTTACTTAAAAGCTTTCATGGAATCAATATTAATTTTCACTCAAAATTCTCAGAAAATTATAGCAAGCTTAAGACTTTCAGAGCTTCAAAACAAAGGGTTTTGTTCTGAAAAATTACAGTCAAGATATCAGAAGGAAAACTTCATACCAACAAATTATCACACTTTCCAGAATAAACAGAAGATGCATGGGATAAATATTTCTAGAAGTTATTGAAGAATGGAATTATGGTTAAATCACTAAATCTAACTTCAGTCTTTACTTCTGCTATAAACTGCTTCTAACTGTATGTAGAAGCATTTCTCTTGTTATCAGCTTCCCACTAAAAAAAACAAGTAACAGCAGCGATGTCCTATTACATGAATATTTTGTGTACTACTTGTGCAGTGTGACAGCATCTTGTGTAGGCTATAAAAATTTAATTTATATTTGGAACGATTTTTTAACAGTTATTGAATATTTCTGTGTGAAACACAACTTATTTATCATTAAAGCAATTATCTCAGAAGTAAGTTTCTCATGCTTAGTTTTCCAGAAATTTTTAATGTTTTTTACCCTCTCATTGCTCAACAATGAGACAAACTCACCTAGGTCTCCAAATGTAAATACCAAGCTAGGTAGGAAACAAGCTATGTGAGCAGCACAGGATTTCCCCAATATGCTCTGTCATGTACTGCCTCTGTGGGTCCCTCTTCACTAGCTCAAATATTAGCAAAGAGATTTGCTTAATATAGGATATATAGGACTTAAGAATAGCAAAGCTTTTGCATGGACTCTGCACAGCAGGTTGAATTAAAAAAAAAAATCCTGAAGAACCCATACTCAAACAAAAATACTACAGAAGAGAAATTAAAGCAAATAAATCAAAGAATTAAAAGAAATAAAAGAAAAAAGAAATTAGAGCAAAGTTGTTTATAACTCCCCATAGCCAAAGTTACACAATAAAATAAATGTAACAGCAGCCAGAGATAAAAGAACAGCAATAAGCCCTAGCTTCTTTCTCTCATTCTACAGCTACGGACAGCAGCAGTCTAGTATTTGAAAACAAAAAATATCCCAAATTTTTATAATGGGCAACCTCCAGTAGGACAATACAACATTTCTGTGCTTCAGCCAAAACCAGACATATGCACAGTTAAATAATAACAAACCCCAAACCAAAAAAAAAAAAAACCCAGGGTTTTGTTAAAACACTTATCACAATGGTTATGAAGGACTTCTGCATTTCTGTCTACAGGCACAAACAGGAATGTTCTGATTATGTTCAGTCATTTTGTCAATTCTATACACAAAAAGTAATTGCCAAAGGTCCCTTGAGTTTAAAAAGTATTTTATTAAAATTGAAAGAATATAAAAACAAAGGTAAAAAAAAATTCAAGCCATAAAAATTGGCACTCTCGTAAGTCCACAAAACCCAGTTACTATATTAAAGAAAAATCCAAGAAAAATACTATCCTTTACAGCATTACATCTTGATTTATTATGTTGACAAACCACTTGTGTGCCTAATTAGATACAAATTTTATTGTCAGCAAGGGGTAAAGCTGGAGGAGGAAGGAAGAGGAAAGAGGCAATGCTTAGGTAGGAACCAAACGGAGTAACTGCCCTCAGAAAAATGGCACATGCACATTATAGCAAAGACAGTAGGATACCACTGTCTCCCAAGGTCATACACACACAAAGATGTTTGCTTAGCAAGATGAAGGGACCAAATATTTTTGTCAAGTAGTAACAGATCACAGTTCAGCTGTTTACAGAATTTAATATCTTACAGTATATTCTTACCTTTTGCAGACTAGTAGGATTTAGCTGGGTTTTATCTATTATTTTCACGGCAACCTTGGGAAAAAAACCAAACAACCATGGATTATTAAACTCAGAAAAATGTTTGAACAAAAACGTATCGCACCTCTGTGAGAAAAAGCATAGATGTGCCTGTAAGACGTGCATATATGTCTGCTTTTATGCATTTCATCAAGCAAAATTTCTCACCTATTAGGATCTACCAGCAGGAGCTCAGAACTTTGCCACCAGATGGTACCACCAAGGAATCAGTTTTATACTTCTGTCAGTGTTTGGACAGAACAATGTTATCCTATCCACTGCAAAACCAGGCCCTCCAAACACAAGATCTATCTATCAATAGATTTCAATATCAATTAAATCGATATATCAATAGATTTCTCTTTGGTTTTGGAAATGCTTGGGGACGAATGGACCCTCTCACAGCCCCAGAATACCCCTTGATGTGCAACAACTTTTTTGATCTCTTCACCAAGAAGTTACATTTTTTAAAAAAGGGGCAAGTAGTTAGAGGGAGAAAACTCGGGCGCCTCAGGGAGCTTTCCTTATATCCTGAAACAGCCGCTTTGCATCTTCCTTTATGATGACAAAAAATGTGCTTTTTCTATTCAGAAGAGAAAGGTAAAAGAATAGCAGAAATACTTATTATAAAGAGCCAAAGAGAACAGAAAACACAGTCAGCCTTTTTTTTTTTTTTTTTTAAAAGGCTTACCTCTCTTCCAGTAAGCACATGCCTTGCCAGTTTCACTTTGGCAAAATTTCCTTTTCCTATTGTTTTCAGTAAGCGATAATTTCCAATGTGAGGGTGCTCTTCATTGGTAGACGTAATGGAGTTTCTACATCGGGGTATATTTTGCCTGCTACTTGACTTGATCGGCTGAACGTGCGGTTCAGTGTATCCATCCACAGAGGTATGCTGGAAGGCAGATAAAATAGTTGCAAATTTAGCTGCTTGGATTTTAGACAGTTGCAGCAGAATAGATTAAAAGCATAAAAAGGTGTAGAGGGGAGTAATTTATTTACTTTTGTAAGTGTAACTGGTAACTTCGGATGGTAGCTTAAGCAGAACATGCTGTCTTTGGGCAGAGTTTGATGCATGTCTCAAGAAAAAAGTCTGCAGAAAGATTTTACCAGCTCCAAAAGTAAAACTAGAGACAGTTTACCAGGCAGTAATCAACAAATGGTTATAGATTTTTTTTTTTAATATGAAACTATGCCAAACTACACACTACACCACTATGTTGCAAAAAAACTTCTCTAATCATAACCAAATTCAGTCTTTTAAAAATACACAGTACAAAAAATATTTGTATTTTGACATATTTGGAAACAAGGTTTCACTCAATTATTTTTTTCTTAACTTTCTTAATCTCAAATAACATTATGAGAAAAATACTGTTTCAAGTACGCTTTGTTCCCCAAACCTGTCTGCATCTTTTTCTGTTACAGAAATTCTCATTCAAGTAATGAACAACCTACATCTTTATTTAAAAATAATAATCTATTCTTAAAAAGAAAACTCCATGTTATCTCATAAATTTATTTTGTATCTCAAAAGTCCGAAGAACTAAAAGGATGTTATTTTTAATGCATGCCAACACATCATCCCACATTAGATGTTAGTCACTGAAATCTGCAGTGCTTCTGTACTCTTTAACTTCCAAGTATATTAGGGGTAAGATACAGACAGGGCGTGGAACTGTTCCAAGGAGAAACCAAAATAACAGAAGATGTCAAAGGGGTGTTAAGTGTTTCAGTATTTCAAATGCCTTCTAACATTAGTGGCAGATGGGTACAAACATTTAATAGGTAAAATTTAGCCTCTAATCTTTTAAGTTACAGATTTTAAGGCATGCAAATATTGTAGGTAGAAACAGTGTCTTCTCAGATCAGTTTTTAGATTTTGCAACAGAAAGGCATGCTTACTCCCAGCTCACTCAGTTCCTGCTAAGCATAAAGCACCAACAAAACTCAAGACACCTTAATATTTTCCCATTATTCACTGCTTCAATCAAAAAGTGGGTATCTTGATATCTTTCTACAGACCACTGAGCCTGTTTCCTTACAGACCAAAGCTTTCTAGACCTTTGACCTTAAGCTGAAAGCAGAGTCAGAAGGCAGCAGTAGCTTTCACTGTTTCTCCCAATACCCAACCTAATGTTGGTCTATGCTGATCTCACCTGTCATTCCTTATGCAAGTAATTAAGTTCTTATACAAAACAGAATTTAAAGCAGTGCTTCCAACTTTTTGGAACTTGTGCATTTATCATAGACCGAAGTCAATCCCCTGTAAACACCCAGGCTTACAGATAGTCCCACTGAGACAAGCGGAGTTATTTCGGGACATAAGCACTACTAGAATTGGGAAAACTAGCAAACAGCTGCAACACAACCGGAAAAAACAAGGAGTATACCACAACCAGAATGTTCTTTCCAAATGTAGCACAACTCTGCTTACATCACCTCCAGCATTATTAATTATTCACTATGGCCAGGAGAATGGTCCTAAATATAATTTTCTGTTTGTCTTTTCATTAACTGAGTCTCTGCAAAATACTACTATACCCCCACTGCTAAACTGTTTTCCAAATTACTGCAGAACTAACCAAGCCAGGCATGTTTAGATTCTGTGTATCAGAAAAAATTATTCAACTGTGAAGTAACACACTAGCAATAGTATTTATCCTTTACAAGCACATAATTAAAATACTGTGGACTTGGAACAAGAGGATCAGAAGGACAGCTCCAGGCAAAGAGGCTTTGAAACATTCCTTCAACATTGGACACTAGTCCTACATGCAATAAAGCAGAGCCCAAATAAAAGTCTCACCTAAGAAAACACCCTGCAAGATCAGTATTCGTATGGTGCTAATAATGAATATTACAGCCGTACCTAGAACCCCGTCCAGAGCTACAGCACTATGCTATACAAGCAAGTTTTAAAAGTCATTGAGCCTATTTATGCTCAATTAGATCTTCACTACTTGAAATACAATGCCTACCAGAAGTATTAGCAAGCCTAATATCAACTGCCAATTTCATACGCTTCATAGGATTAGCCGACTTCCAGTAGGTACTTGAAGGGATCTTTTAGATAAGCAGTTGGATAGGCAAGCAAAACCAATGCCATAAGCAAAGCGAAAGATGGCTTCACAGGAGAGATCATTTCAATGCAGATTTAACAGGGAAATCAGTTATTTAATCATAATGACAATATAACACAGAACCAAATCTGAAGAGGAAAGAGATAAAGTAACAAGGTTCATGGTCATGATGATTCTGGATTTTGGTCTTTCTGCAACAGAAAACTAAGCCCCTCTGGATAGTTTCTTAATTATTCCTTCTTTGACAGATTATCTTCAGAGTCAACCCTTCTCCCCAGCTATGCCCAAGGATGACAGAAAACATGCATAAAGAAAGTCAAGTTTCTTAGTTTGTGAGCCACATATAATTTCTGAATTTGAACAGCACTGAATGAAATTCATATTATTCTTCTTAAGTCTTGCAATAGGTCTCTCTTCTGCACATAAACAGCTTGCTGCTGTTGGAAAGTACAGAGGAATTTGAACTAGAAACTCATCAACTTCTAGAAATCAGCATTCAATGAAATCGAAACGTAACAAGGTTAAGATGTGGGGGGGGGGCAGAATCAAGTTACGTCAAGTAATGGTATCTCAGAGATTATTTCCAAACAATGCTTAAAGCTGAATTCCACAGAAGCTTGCAATATCCACATTGTCCAGGAAGACAGGCTATGTAGTTTTAAGATGTTTCTGGTCCATTACAGTAAGTTCATTCATTATGCATCAGCTGCTATGTGGCTATTTAAAAATGCCATTTCAGATGAACAATCTCTAAATTCTGAGAAATTTTTCAGGCTGCTAGAAACAAACCAACACTCCTTGAAGTTCACTGCCATCTTAAAAACAATTCCAACTAAAAAGCTGCATTTCCTACACAGGATTTTAATTAGGGATTCTGGTATTTCTCTAGATACCTTGACAATATATCTTTTATATATATATATATAAAAAGATATATTAAAAAATGTAGTGGGAAACACTGCCTTACTAGTACATCATAAACATGGCTCCCTGTATGTTCAGTTTATGTCAGTGTTAAATAAAATGTCTGGAAATCAACACATAAAATTAGATGTTTCTTAAAATAAAATGCAATTTTAAACAACAACAAAAAAAAGTGCAGCAGTAACAGAAGTTTAGAGATGAAACAGTATATTAGAGCAGCCATTTATTTTGCACATTAGTCAAGCCTTTAAAAAAAAAAAACCCAAAACAAAAAAACCCAAGGAAAAATCTATATAAAACAAAACCCACCATATTTTCACAAATCTCAGAAAAGTAATTCTAGCATTCAATTTTAGATTGCAACTGAAGAGAGCTCAATTAACACTTATTACTCCTTACTAGGTTTGTTTCTGACACGTTCCATTAGAATTATTACAGAAAGTCAATGGCACTAAAATCACAAGAGAGTTACCCTGACCCATTGCTTCCCCAAGACTCAAAGCTATCGTTTTCCTTGTTTACCCAAGGCAGCTTTGCAAAAGCAAGATGACACGATGCCCAGACACATTATCTTTGAGAAAGTGCAGAACAACTAACACCACCAAGTAGATACAAAGTGTGTGCTCCACTGCTTTACTTATTCAGCTAGCCACTGGAGTGTATTCTCACAGCTTACACACTGTAATTAAACTTACATCATCACATACATTAACTCCACATACATTAACTGCTCTTACAGCTTAGTCTTAAAAGGTCCCCAAAACTATTCTGGCCACCAAACCACACGTTCTTCCTCAATCAAACAACACTGAAGACCTCTATAGTCCTTCTGAGTAACAGGATAACTTCCACACATTGATCTGCCTACAAATACACCTCACTTGATTAAGCAAACATCTTAGTCCTGAATTTTTCCCCTTCTTGAATTACTGCAAGGCAAATTCCTTGGTACAAGTCAGCCCATGGAAGCAAAGTATGCACACATGGTGCTAGAAAAGGCACATCATCACATTTCCTCTATCTAATATCCTCTGCCTATATTATCTCCTGTTCTGAACTTAAGCTTCTTGCAGACAATTTTTATATTCATAACTCCAAACATTTTCAAGCATGTGCCATACACACGAGCATTATAACAGCTGTCATATTTTGCAAGGTAATCAAAATAGCCCAGACAGAGGGAGTCTGAAGGGTTTAGAAGACTGTCTTCTAAATGGCTCTGATCTGCAACAGCTTTGATTCACAATACAGGGGAAGCAAAGGGGAGAAAGATGAAAAGTAATGTCCTGGATGTCCAGCTGCTTTCATATTTTAACTGCTTGCTGTCCGTAACTATTCCTTTAGGACCTAGGAGCTGCTAGCAAACCACCTCAAGCAAATCTTTTCCTTTGCTGAAGCAACAAACAAACCAAACTAGAAGACCCCAATTTTTTGAAAGATCTTGGTAAACCTCAATGTGGAAACCAACAGAGATGTTCCCTTCCAACCCAAAGCACTCTATGATTCTATGTTCAGATCAGCTTCTTCTACATCACATATCAAGAGCACCCAGAGGTATGAAGTGTGGTGCAACTCTGAACTGCACAAGATGATAGTATCTGATCCATCAGCTAGTGCCAGAAGAAGGGGATTCACTCTTTTTACAGGTAGCCCTCACATCTGCACAAAACCACAGCTTACTCTTGCCACATGCACCCGTCACATACTACAATTACTAAAGCACCTCAAATCTCAATCAAAACATTAATATAGCACTGTCTACTCCAATTTTTCATACTTCTCAGACATGTAAGAAAGTACTTTGGAGGGAACAATTAAAAAGACTGAATGTGTGTTTATGCACACATGATTCTTTTCATAATTTCTCATCAGCAATTAAATG